CCTTCCACCATATGTGGAAACAAATATTTCATAATCTTTATTGATGATTTCTCACAATATGATATGTTTACTTAATTAATGAGAAATCTCATGCACTTGAGAAATTCAAAATTTTTAAACTAGAATTAGAGAAATAATGTAAAAAAAAAAGTATCAAAATTGTAAGATCTGATCGTGGTGGTGAGTACTATGAGAGATATGATGAGTCTGGTCAAAATATGGGTAGTTTCACAAAGTTTTTACAAGAGTGGAATAGTGCCCCAATATATCATGCCAAGGACACTTGAGCAGAATGGTGTTTCTGAAAGACGCAATCGAACTCTAAAAGATATGGTCGGAGCATGATGAGTAGAACAAAGAACCTTTTGAATTATGGACAAGACGCAAGCCAAGTTTGGCTCACTTTAAAGTTTGGGGATGTCCAACTGAGGTTAGCATTTATAATCCATTTGAGAAGAAATTAGACTTGGAATCAACTCTTGGTTATTTCATTAAGTTACCCAGAGAGATCGAAAAGATATAAGTTTTACTATCCAAATCTTGGCACTAGAATTGTGGAGTCCATCCTTGCTAAATTTTCTAGAGAATGATTTTGGAGATAGTGAGAGTTCTACATTGAGAGAATTTTTTTTGAACCAAATTAAGTTATTGTTCCAGTTCCTGTTATATAGGAAGGAGTTGGTTCTCAACCAATTGAAGTTGTTAATGAAAAACTGAGGAACCAAGATGAACTTCTAATTCCTCCAACAATGGTTGAATCATTTTCTGAGCCACAAGTTAGGAGATCACAAAAGGGAAAGGAAGTCTGTATTGCCTAGTAATTATATTACATATTTATTGGAGAGTGATTTTAATATTGGGCATATTGTTGATCCTGTAACTTATAATCAAACATTGACAAGTTCTGAGGCAGATAAATGACTAGTTGCCATGGAAGATGAAATGAATTCTATGGAAAAGAATAAAGTTTGGAATCTTGTTGAACTTCCTCCAGATGCTAAAGTTATAGATAAAAAATGGATTTTCAAAACTAAATTAGATTCAAAAGGAAATTTTGAACGAAAGAAAGCAAGATTGGTTGCAAAATATTTTACTCAATAAGAGGGCATTGATTATGTTTAAACCTTCTCCCCTATTATGTCGAAAGATTCTTTTTGAATGATCATGGCTCTTGTGGCACACTATCATTTGGAGTTTCATCGAATGAATGTTAAGATAGCATTTTTGAATGGAGATCTTTCTGAAATGGTTCGCATGAAATAACCTGAAGGCTTTGTTGTAAAAGGAAAAGAAAACTTAGTATATAAATTAAAAAAATCCTTATATGGTCTCAAGCAAGTATTTCGACGGTGATATTTAAAGTTTGACAAGGTTGTGACCTCTCTTGATTTTGTTGAAAATACTGATCAATGCATTTATCTTAAAATCAGTGTGAGAAATTCTATTTTTTTGTACTGTATATTGATAACGTTCTGCTTGCTAGTAGTAACTTAGAATTGCTTCATGAGATAAACAAAATGTTGTCTGCTAATTTTGAGATGAAAGATCTTGGAGAAACTTCCTATGTGCTTAGCATTGAAATATATCGTGATAGGAATCGTAGCTTGCTAGGACTTTCTCAGAAAGCTTATATACAACGTGTTCTAGAAATGTTTAATATGTAGAACTGTGCACCTGGTGATATACCTATCATAAAATTGGATAGGTTTAACAAAACTCAATGTCCAAGAAATGAGTTAGAAAGTGAATCTATGAAGATGATTCCATATGCTAGTGTTGTGGGGGAGTTTGATATATACTCAAGTTTGCACTAGACTAGATATAGCCTATGTAGTCAGTGTCCTTAGTAGATTTCAATCAAATCCAGTACAAGAGCATTGGAAAGCAGCTAAGAAAGTTATAAGATACTTGAAGAAAACTGAAAGTTATATGCTTACATTCCAACGTTCAAATCATCATGAGGTGGTAGGATATTCAGATTTTGATTTTGCTGGATGTCAAGATAACTTGAAATTAATATCAGGTTATATTTTCATGTTAGCCGATGGTGCTACTCTTGGAAAAGTGCTAAAAGAGTCTATGGCATCTTCTACTATGCAAGCTGAATTTGTGGCATGTTATGGGGCAAGATTCCAAATCGTTTGGTTAAGAAATTTCATCTCAAGTTTGAAAATTGTTGATTCCATCTCAAGACCAATCACCATATACTATGATAATAGTGCAGCGGTGTTGTTTTCAAAGAATAATAATAGTTCTAGTAGACCAAAGTATATTGACATCAAATAATTGTGGTTAGAGATAGAGTAAAGAAACAGCAAACGAAAATAGATCATATCAATACAGAGGCAATGATTGTAGACCTTTTGATTAATGGACTTGCTCCAAAAGTCTTTAAGACACATGTAGCTAATATGGGTATTGTGAAAACATTTGATTTTTTTGGTTAGTGGCATATATATATACACACACACTATGTTTTGGGCTTGATCTTTTTACGGTGTACGTAGGCAACCCATATGCTTTTGGGTACAGCTTTTTCTGATAATAAAATATTTTTCCCCTATCCATGAATTTTTGAGCATGCATTTAACTTATATCTTTTATTATGATATTATTGTAATATCGAGATATGACAGATAAAGACATAAAATGAGTCTCTTTTGGAGACATGTGGTTTCATTTTGATTTGAAGCATCATGAGGACCGATATGAATTAGTACAGTTTTTTATCACATTTGGTACTAAGTTCATACCATATACTACCACATTGGTTGGAGGATGTTGATCCATGTCGATAAGGATGTTGGTATTTGTAATTGTGAAATGGTCTTATATCTCTTAATTGGTGTAATGACTTCCATGTTCGGTGTTAATATTCTTGTTGAACGGGATCATGTTGTGTAAGGTGTCATCATTGGAGCTATACTTTTGTGGCCACCTATATAGTCTAACCTGGGTGTTAAAAGTTTTACAAGAATCAAATGTTTGCCCAAGTGGGAGAATTTTGGTATAATTTCAAATATTAGCTTCACATTTGATTATTTATTTTATGGGTTAAATGTACGGCTAATAATGATATTTGTTATTGGACTAAATTTATTAAGTGATCAATTGAGCCTTTTATATCTTACAGGTTATAATTAATATGATATGGTACTTTAAAGTATGTGGCCGAAAATATATGTAAACCATAATTAGAGTTTCAATCATAATGGGACGGCTCAATAATTTTCTATATAAAAGTTAGGTCCCCTTTCCTCTCTATATTGTTTTTAATAGCTTGCCCCCATTGACAATTAATACTTTGTGAGGGGCAAGGAGAAGAAAATCTGACTGCTATTACAACTATTATTCATATCAACAATGGCTTCAGTAGGTATAAATTTGATTTATCAATTCATTACTTTGTGATTCTTAATTCTTAACATGGTCACAATTAAATTCAACAATCACATCAACGCCTTTCTATTCTTAAGTCTGAACTGACTTCCATTAGAAGGATATTCATACCACTGTTTGTAAGATAAAAATCTTTCTTCGACCAAAACTGGCAGATAGAAGGCTTGCTTAGCTTGGACTATTGCTCAAAATCAAATCAAACACTGGTATACATCTTAACATTTGGTGTTGTAGAATCCTATAGAAATTTCGGAATAGGTATTTTCTTTCTTTTGTTTTATAGAACAGTTAATTGAATGTTCTCTGATTTTCGCAAGGTTATAAAATATGCATAAAATCTTACACTATACTCCAGCCATACATTTGTACAAGAAATTGTCATTTCATTGTTGACGGAGAATGTCCAATTTTTATTTTATCAACGGACAGCATTATGATGCATAACTGTTCATCTACTACGTGAATGGCCGCCGTCGATTTCCTTGCCTCGCCCCTCTAAGTAAAAACTGCCCTATATGTCACTTTTAACTTGTAAAAATTTTTGCTTACAGCTACATCCCTAAATCATCTCTATAAACATCTAATTGATTTTTGAGACAAATATGAAAGAAAATTAGCAATTTGCTGGTTTGTTTTTCTGGAATGGGGGAAAATGCAATTCCAAAGTAATACATACTATTTCATAGAAACAAAAGTTAATCTTATCCATCGGGATTATAACCATTTATTCTTTTTAATAGGATTATTCGGTGAAAGCAATGTTCCTTAGTCTTATCATCTCCACTAACTAAAAGTTGAATCTCTTAAACGCATTGATGTTTTCGATGATTTAGTTTTTGTTGATGTCTCTCTTTCCTCTACATTATTCTTCTAACTGTATTCTTAAATAAGGATCACCTTGATATTAGTTAGTGTTTGCATATTTTATCCATATGTTTATGGTAAGTCACACAAAGAGTGGATTTAATCAATTGCTGCAAAGCTGTGGAAAAATGAAGACAGGAAGTTGCGAAATGTCTCCCTGAGGTGGGTGTCAGCCTGTAAATGCGTTGAGAGAATGAAAGTGGGTAATACTTGTTTGTCTATTGCGTCTTGTCTGGTCTGGCCCGGCCTTCGTTACTTGTAAGCTGAGTAACAGTCTCATCTCATTAGCAATTCGTGTATTTATGTAATCCTTATTCCTTCTTTTGACCAAATTCGTGATTCTTTACAATCCTTCGGTGTCAACTGTTTGGGTGTTCAGAATTCAAGTTTTTGCTTGGCTTATGAATTGAATGTTCTATTATTTTCTACTGGCATTTGATTAAGCTCAGATATCTTAGACCACCCTTTGATCAGAAAGATTCAAAATCTATAAAAATGTCTCATCATTCTAAGTTGGGTCAGAACAATGACTTTCTTTGACTATGATGACTCTTCTAAAAGCTGGATGGTAGAGAGTCAAAGGCAAAGCCAAAGAAAATAAAGAAAGAGAGATCGATCGAATAAGTTGACTAGCTTTCAGTATAGCGTATAGGTAATCATGATCTAATCCGTGTTATTGTCATTCTTTCTTTAATTTGTTTATAAATAATTTATTAATTGTACAAAAAAAAATAATAAATTGAAAATGAAATTTGTCTTTCTTTTTATTCAAAAGGCGGGGATAGATTGGCAAATTCAGGGTACAAATGGAGTCATTCTTTGTTTAGCTACCAACCAAACAATTTGCAGCAACTTCCATAATATTGACTAGTGGTTGGATGGAAACATATGAAGCATTGGCAGCAAACTCTTCCTTCACCTCGTACTCAATTGTGGATTTGGTGATGCACGATGACGAATTCCCTTCCTTTTCTATAACTTCAAACCTAACGCGATACAAGCTAAATCCAATATCAAGATACCCACCTTCAACTACCTCCGTTTCCTTCACTCGTTTCTCATCATCCACCACAGTGAACTTCTCTTTGTAATCGCCCAACCCAGCGCCTATGAGAAATATAAAATTGAATTAGAAGAAATTAATGTTTCCTTGAATTTGATTTATAAAAAAATTACCTGGTGGAAAACATAGTTTGATGACTGTTCCAGCTCCTCCATCTCCTTCTACTACCTCAATTTTCTCGATCAAATTAGGAAGCGCTTCTCCAACAATTTTGGCGAGTCGAAGCGTGCCGTAGATCTTCCATGCCTCACCTGCCGGCACGCTCACTTCCCTCTCCTCGGAAATTGCTCCAAACATTTTATTTCTTTCTGGCAAGGCAAAAGGATTGGTGCAGCTTATATAATAGTAATACAAGTTGGGCGTAGACAAAGGCATAGTGCTTTGGAATAAGATTTGAAAGATTCGAGTAGACAGCTGCCAAATGAATTCTTTACTTTCATAATCATAATTTTTTTTGTTTTATTATTATGAAGTTTAGTTGAGCTAATAATTCAAATTTTTTACTTTCAAAATCTGATCAAGCTTATATAATCTGGCCACGTGCTCCCAGTGTAGTAATACAAGTTGGGCGTAGACAAAGGCATAGTGCTTTGGAATAAGATTTGAAAGATTCGAGTAGACAGCTGCCAAATGAATTCTTTACTTTCATAATCATAATTTTTTTTGTTTTATTATTATGAAGTTTAGTTGAGCTAATAATTCAAATTTTTTACTTTCAAAATCTGATCAAGCTTATATAATCTGGCCACGTGCTCCCAGTGGATCTATGTAGACCAAGGGAATTCTTAATTGGTACCTGCATTATTCACTTTTAATAACATCTAATCTACCTACTTCGCATACAGAGGAGAATGAAAAAGACAACCCAGGACCAAATGGTTTCAAATAATCTAGCAGTTTGAAAGTCATGGACGGAGCCAAACATAAATGCAAAATTCCTGTCAGTAGGAATTGCACTCACTAATCACCTCTCTACATCTACAACAAAATATTAATCCGTCACCATTGGTTACTTAAGTCTAGAAATGGAGTAGCAATTGGAACGCTAGAATATTTTTCTGTGTGGTTGCCAACGGTGCAATAGCACAAGAATAAAGAGAAATGATATTATCAGTTGCAGTTATTTAACCGCCATCCAAATTCAATCGATAAACATAACAACTCCATCACATACAGAATCTTCAAAACAGAAAAAGAGAGAGAGAGAGAGAGAGAGCGAGCCTGTAACGTCTCGAATTTTTACTACTATTTGTTAGATTTAAATTTAGGACTTAAGTGCTTTATTATTAAATTCTAATGACCTTATTGGTTATTGGCCTTGTCTAATAACCTTATTGGTTGTTGACCAATAGTTTGAGGACCTAAGTGAAAAGTTATTTTGGAACTTAGATGAAATCATGTGTAAAACATATGTAAATATGCAAATTGGTCTTAATTGAAGATGATTTATTGACCACATGCATTATTCGCACCACATTTCAAGTGAATATAATTGATTTGACTACGTGAATAAAAGAAATTGATTTAATCACATGTATTATTTACACTAAGTTTTAAGCCAAGTGAATTGATTTGATCACATGATTAAAAGTATTGGACCATTTACATGACAATACACCATTTATGCATTGATCATGCCTAATATTTAACCATTTCCTTTCACTTTTTCTACACATTATCAAGTATTTAAACTATAAATAGGAGATAAACTCAGTACTACACTATCTCCCACCAACTATTTACACACTCCCTCTTTATCTCTATCACTTTGTCTATCTACCTTTTACTCTTTCTCCTGTCATTTTATATTAAATATAATCGTACATTTATACAATCACGCGTGTATAATTAACCCCACACGTGGCCCAATGACATCTTTCCAACAATCACTCCTTTTTATCATTTTGAATTGATTAGTGAAAGGTAAGTTGTGCTTTATATTTATGATGGCAACTATTTATGTATGTCATATTTCTACAGCTATGTTACGTTTTGGTCCATGATGCATATATTTTACTTAGAATAGACCGGAGTTTAGTAGCGCTATGTACAATAATTTAGCATCATCTAAGTTCGGTCTAATTTTCGTGTCTCCTATGCAAATTAAAAATCTTCCATAGAAATACATATATGGATTCATTATCCACGCACATTTATTGACAATTATTCTCACTCCATTTTGTCTCTACTTTCAGATAATTGATGATTCGAGGAGATCGGTACAGAGATGGCTTATGGTGGCAAATGTTTCAATAATAAAATTATTATGTTGTCAAACTATTATTATTTCATTCGAATTTAAATATTTTAAAATATTTCTCATTTCAAGTTAATTTATTAAATTTATATAATTGTCCTGAATACTCTTTGAATTAGTTTTGGTTTATGATTTAGTGACACTTGAATCGTTAAGGGTTCTAATCGTTATAGTTGGTATCAAAATGGGTTTACTTTTCTTAGACTCTGATTTAAAAAGTAAAAATAAATAAAATTACATCCCTATTTACAGCAACAAAAAAAGTATATTAAATGTTTTTTCTTTTGCTTTTTCAAGGAATCTTACAACTCAAATATTATCCTTTAAATTGTTTATTTGAAAGAAGTTATTAGTTTTAAATAAAGAAGTTTTAACAAGATTTAAACGATTTCTCGCATGCAAAGCCATACTCCAAGTCATCACCCCTCAAATCAGGTATCTCCTAAGTTTTGTCATTATATATAATATATTTACTTTATTTGCACATAAGATTATGTTGGTTATGTAAAGAATGCAATTTATGAACGCATGAATGAATACGTCTTGCAATGAAAATTAAATGTATCGCGAGTTAATTGTTCACATTTAGTAACATAAAATATTAAAAAGACATGTCATATTCTTATTGAATTATAATACTCAAAATGATATAAATAAGTATGTTATACATTATGTCATTATTTGAATTCAATTGTTGAGAATTGTAGCAAAAGAATTTAGAAAGCCTTTAAATTACGACATGTCAATTAGAAATTAACGAAATTAATAATAATAATTCATATTTTAGGTATCTCTAGTTTTCACGCATTGTTTAAGTTTTCTTAATTTGCGTATTCCCAAGATTGAAAGATTTTGTCAAAAAGACCTAAATTATCTAATGAGAGCTTGGATTTAAGTGGTCTACTTATGACCCCCCCCCCCCCTTGAAGCCTTTTATTTACGCATTATTCAAATCAAAAAGATGAAAAGTAATATCTGAAATCTAGTGAAAAATCTATTTTTAGAAACTCATAAGAAAATTTCGTTTTTAAAAATATCTATTCCAAAAATTCCTATTTTATAAAACGTCTATTTTTTTTTTTAATCCCTATTTCAAAAAATCATCCTTTAAAAAATAAAAAATAATAAAAAAATAAAAAAACCTCTTATAAGTATGAGGCCATGTTACCCCAAGGTCGACGAACTAACACAACATTGAACAACTTCAACAACCTCAAGAGCCCCGAACAAACCCAACCTAATAGGGTTGACCCATAGTTTGCTCAGCAATTTCTTGCCATGATGTGCACCTTTGCTCAAGCGACAATACCACCACAACCACCGCGACAAACTCCGACAGCGACAACAGACACAATGAACATGACTACTATTGTCGTGGAACTATTCAGGAAATAACACTCCCAACCTTTGAGGGCGGTTTAGATCTCTTGGATGCAAAAGATTGGTTGGCAAGGATGGAAAGAATCTTCGATTTCATTGACTGCCCAAACGCCAAAAAAGTTACATACGAAACGTTTATACTAAAAAGGGTGCAACCTATCAACCACCTGCCGATAAATTTCATAATACACTGCTGCTTCGATTTGGGTTTGGGGATTTCGGGATGGAGCTTCGATTTGAGAGTTCTGGTTTTCATGTTTGGGTTTTGGGTTTCAATTGGGGAAATCACATTTCATTGAATCAGAGGGGATAAAGCTATGTTTGGTGATGACATGGAGCTGAATTGGCACTCCACTTACCACTTAGACAGAGTTAACTGGCCAACTCATTTTTCCGTCTGTTACGTCAGCATCTTTTGAAACACCATCCATCCGGTAAGTAATGGAGACTAACGGATTAAAATTCAATGGCTAATGGGATAATTTTGAAAGTTCGGTGAGTAAGTCGTGACATAATGCAAAGTTCGGTGGCCATTGAAACATTTAACTCCATTGGCAGTGGCATTGGGATTTAGGCACAAAAATCGAGGATATATATACACACACAGAGAAAACAAAAAGTGGTGGCAAGAATATATATTTACACACATACAAAGGCAACGGGAAAATTGAGAAGGGTGGAGAGGAAACTGTAGTGGAAAAGAAAAAGGCAGGACACACGCACAAAATCGAGACGTCATACAGGGCTGTTGACACATAAAAATTCAGCCCAAATCGAACAGCCCAGAGAGTAAAGCCCAATTGGAAGATCTCCAAATCAAATAGCTCAAAGAACGAAATCCAATTGAACGAATCAAGGTGAATGCCCAAATAAGGGGCCCAATAGTGCGGTAACGCCATCGTCCAAGTTTGCAAGTCGCTCAGAGTCTGAACGAATAAAGTGACATACGGTCATCCAGAGTCTCGCCCAAATCTTCAAGTCGCCTAAGGTATCAACAAACACAACGCATTATGATGCAGTTATTGAGGCAGCTGCTAAAGTAACTTTTATCATGTTCCACGACTCAAGGGGTTCAATCGAAAGCGGTTGAACGATGCAAGATAATGGCAGCAGTTAAAAGGACAGTTTCATGACAAATGGCCACTACAAAGAAAGTGGGTAGTTATAGGGCGATCAAGCAGTTTTTTAGAGCAGTTAA